CCTCAGCCCAGAGCCAGGGCAGGGCAGTGGAAGGGGGAGGCCGGTTAATAGACCCTAAGTGCTTGGAAGGGCGCCCTGCACATAGGGAATGCGATAAAAATGTCTGTTAAATAAATAAAAACGCATGAATTTTCTGTGTGTAATTCAAGCTGGCTGAAACTAAAAGAGATTTTTGGCTGGCATTGGGGATGCATGTGGCCCAGAGGCGTGAGTGGCAGCATCAGTTTGCCACCTTTGCTTTGGTGCCATCCCTCGCAGCACCCAGAAGAGCTCGCTGCCCCACCCAGGAGTCCAGCAGAAGTCTCCTGAGGGCTCCCACTGCTGGGCTGGGTTGTCAGGGTCGCCTGGGGGAAGTCTTGGTGCTGCCTCCCAGGCAGGGGTGGGGGGCCGGGCGGGAACCCGAGAGGAGACCAGCAGTGGCCACTCCACCCCGTCCAGGCTCCTGTGTCAGCAGGGCCTGCAGGACTCATGGGAGAGGAGCTGTGGAGCCTGGCACGAGCGACAGCCAAGCTGCAAGGCCCGAGGACCTCATGGTGCAGCTCCCAGGCCACAGCCCAAGGACAGAGGGGCCCTGGTGCAGCAGTCGGAGCACGTGTCCCAGAGCAGGAGAAGACGGGTCCCAGGGGAGAGGAGGCCAGCCCTTCATCCACGACTTTCCCGGCTATGCAGCCTGGAGTGGATCCAGCTAACGCTGGGGGAGGAGATCATGGAGTCTGCCGAGCAGCATGATCTCTCCCAGGAGCGGATCAGAGACACGGCCAGTGCCTGGCAGAGGGTCCTCAGCCTGGCCGAGCTGGCAGGTGGGATCCACTGCCTCCCTGTTTCCCAGGCCTTGTTCACAGCGCATGCAGAGAAATGCTCTGGGCCCCTCCAGTACACTGCCTTGGTGTCTTAGAGAGAAGATTCCTTGAGCCCAGAGCTCTGCTCGCCACTCTGAGACCTCAGGGGGTGCGGGCCTGCACGGCTGAGGAGCAGTGCCGTGGGCGCCAGAGCCAGCTGCTCAGCTGAGGTGATGCGTCCTGGCATGGGGTGGATGAACTGCAGTGGCCTCCGGGTTCCTGAAGCCGGGGCTTGGCCACCTCAGTGAAGGTTTTCCCCAGCTGGCTATTCCGCATGCAGCCTCCACCTGCAGCATCCCCAGCACCAGGGAGCAAATCCACTTCCCTGCTGCTCACGCTGAGGTGCGGACTGGAAGCATAGGCTTTGTCTGTGAGATCACAGGAAATTCAGACTCCCGGCCCTGCCTGGAGCTGTGCTGAAGCCACGCTTCAGTAAGATCTCCGCACAAAAACAAAGCTGGGGCCACTTCCATACTCCCGTAGGGTCGTTTCTGGGCACGCGTCTGTCAGCCCAGGGGGACCGCAGGGCTGGCACGAGCCTCAGAAGTCGGCTCTGTGGGGCTCCCCGCCTTCAGACAGCACAGCGGACGCATGCACTCCCGTCTTCTCTGACCCTGCCCGGTGCCCAGCCGTCCCGGGAAGACCGGTGACGCCTCCCCTCGGCCCTCACGGCGGTCACCCGGGAGCTTCAGAAGCACCCAGCTCAGAGTGCCCGGCAGAGGGGTATCAATGCAGAGCTCAGCTGATCCTCTCTGCAGCCCACTCTGACTGCTAAGGGCAAAAGGCGCCACTTCCTCACGTAACCAAGGAAGGTCCCTCAGTCCCTCTTCCAAACAAGATAATGAGACCTAGGATGAGATCAGTGATTAATTTACGTTATTAATATATCATTTACATATTACTTCTTAGCATATGAATCCTTTATCTGACAAATCACTACCTTTCCTTAGTGACAGTGTCACCTGGAAGTCTCTTCCCCTCTTATATTAATGTAGCTGCAGCAGCTACCTTTCTTTTATGCAGCAGTTTTGTGCCACATTCCCCCATCGTTTGGCTTTCTTGTATTGCTGTGTGGGGTTTTTCTTGGCAGAGTCTTGCTGTGTAGCCCAGGCTGGCCTCGAACTTGCAGAGAGCCTCTTGGCTCAGCCTCCCGAGTGCTGAGATTATCGGCAGGGGCCATTTATACTTTTCATATTCTTAGGTTTTATATTACTTGATGGGATATAGGTGAATGTTTTGGATTTACTCTGGCAGCTCTGTTCTCTGTCTAGTCTCTGGTCTACTAATGTTTAATGTAATTACCAGTCACTGGGGACACCAGTACTTAACGCCCCCAGGGCATTCTGTGGAGGCTGCAGTTCCCACAATGACCATGAGGGGGCGACTCCAAGGCTGGCCGTGATTACAGCCTAGAAGGAACATGGGGATGGGGATGCATTTTGGGGGTTTCCTCTGCTGCTTCTGAGGACAGGTCTGAGCAACATCTGACCTCAGGGGAGCAGGCTGTGGCTGAGGAGCAGCCGTGTGGTGGACCTGGGACCTGGGAGCCACTCCCTAGCCAGGCCTGCTGGTGGGCAAGGGCTGTGGCGGGCTCCCCGTGGGCGTTTGCCAGAGGGCACAGAGCTGCCAGCAAGCAAGGGCTGAGCCCACGGCCTTGCTTCCTGTTACTTGTCACATCCGTCCTCTCCCCTCTTGCCTTCCTTTGCTATTCTTTCTCCCCTCTCTTGTTGTGGAGTACGACCTCCTGCTTGTTTCTTACATAGTTACCCTAGAAATGACCGCACGCATCTGCAGCTTTTCAAAGCTTGCTCTTCCTCACTGCATTTACGTTCTTCCCCAACATCACTTTACCCAGTGCCATCCCTGTTGACCTCGTGTGGATCTGCGACCTCCATGCAGCTCCCAAAGCCTCACACCACTGTGGCTGTCCCAGAGGATGCTGCCCGCTAGCATTCAGCTCCTTCTCCTATCAATGGCAGCTCTGTGCTCATCCAGCGCATTTCCCCTTGGCTTCAGACCAGCACTCCACAGCTGCCCTCAGCCAGGGCTCCTCGTTGGCGAGATGAGTTTTTATTTTGTCCTCTTCCTGGAGGACAGAATCACGACTGGCAATGAATTCTGTCAGCATGCCGAAGACACTCACATGTGGTTCTGTTGAGCTGATGAAGATATCTGCCCTTTGTTTCTCTTCCTGTGTTGTCTTCCTGAAGTTCGCTACCGTGTCCTAGTGTAGAGTTCTTTGATTTACTGCTGAGACTTTCCATGCTTCTGGTTTGGTGATTTGGTGTCTTTCTGAAAGAATCATTTCCTGCCACACTGCCTCTGCCTGGTCCTCTCCGGCTTCACCTTCTGACGCTGCCCTGATTACACAAATGCTCTATCTGCTGCTGGGACCTTGCCAACTCTCCTGCATTGCCCATCTTCTTTTCCTCTGTGCTTCCATCATTCAGGGTGATTTCTTCAGCTATATTTTCATTTCATCAACACCTTTCCAGCTGTCTAATGTGCTCTTAAATGCAGTGCAACCAGTTACTGTGGTGATTATAGTTTTTCATTGCAAGAAGTTCTACTTATTTGTTGTTTTCTACTTGTTATTTGTTTTTAAACCAGTTGTCACTTTTGACAGCTTCAAGTTCCCTGAAGACAGATATATATATATATATATATATATATATTTGTCTTGTTTGTTTGTTTGTTTTTGTTTTTAGAGACAGGATCTTGCTATGTAGCCCAGGATAGCCTCGAACTTTCAGTGATTCTCCTGCCTCAGCATCCTGAGTGCTGGGATTACAGATGTGCACCACCATGCCTGGCACCTGGATATATTTTCAAACCTGATTTTTCCACCCTGGAACCATTTTCCCAGTGTCTGGTGTCTCTGAGGTGCTACTCCTGCTGTCCTCTGCCCCCATCTCTTCTACTCTGTGGCACCTGTGTCTGGTTTTCTTTACTGTGTGCTGGCTCTCGCACGCAGGGTTACGTGGCTTAGCTGAAGCCTTGAGAAAATCTGCTTCCTCTCCGTGGGATCTATGCTCACCTCTGGCAGGTTGGGCTCCCCTGCGCCCGGCTTCATGCTCCAGCTTCCGGAAGGCCTGGGTAACCCCGGCTACAGCCCACCATGCATGGATTTGTGTGTCCTCATCTGAGTTTGGCTCCTGTCACCTTGAAGGTGCAGCCCTTGCCTGTGTCTCGCTCTGTACCAGGAGTGGCCCTGGCCCTCCCTGGACTGCTTTGACTCATTTCAAATGTGTCTGACTTAGCAGAAGTTCTCAGGACACAGGTGGCTTTTGTGTCCCTTTACCTCTCTGATTCCGCTGTTTGTCACACTCTTCCTGGTAATCCCTGTCATCACACCAATCTGGTGTCTACCCGAGGTGATGACTAATAACCATTTTAAATTGGGTTCAGTGGAGACAGTGATGCAAACAACCTGTCCACTGTTAGTGGACACAGAAGGCTGTGTCTGTCTTGGTACAGGGCAGGTGCCCACGGGGGACCTCTGAGCTAACTGGATGTCACCACTTGCGGAGTGAGCCCGGTGTCTGCCTGTCCTCAGGAGCAGGCATTTCCGCTCTAAGTGAGTACTTCTCCTTCCCATCTGGCCCGAAGGTGCCCACACTCTTCCTATAGCCAGCTTCCCCAGATTCCCCGTTTCCCACCCCGAATCTGAGGCCCACCTCTCGCCCACGAGAACCCTGGTGAGCCAGGGCTGCTGCACCCACAGCCTCCTCTCCTGGACCCCGAGGGACACCCTCCTGTCCTCCCCAGCGCTGTGGCTCCTGAAACTCTGACCCTGCAGTCTTGGGTCTGGCAGCGAGGGACCCTGAATTCTGCAGGAAGGGGGGTTCAGTGTTCCCTCAGACCCCACATTTGACCTGGGCCTTCCTCAGGGGAGCTGACGAAAACATCGCAGCCTCCACCGTGGTGCTGCTGTCACCAGGGCGCAAGGGAAAGGCAGAGCGACACAGCCTAAATTGAGGGGAACCCACTCCGGCCTCAGCCCTGCTCCTGGATGCCACGGGGCCTCCTGGTTGAGCGTCGTCAGCAGTGTCTATCATGGCGGCACCCAGGCCTCTTGGGGCAGACGCCCTGCAGGAGTCGGGGCGTGCCAGGTCCCCACCGCTCCCAGAGGCCCTGTGTGTCCGCTACCTTGGTCCTTACCTCACCACCTTGGTCCCGTTTCTCACCACGTGCACATCCACCATGCAGCCCCCGGTGACGCAGGCCGCCAGGTTCAGCTCGGAGAACTCAGCCTGGAGAGCGAGAAACAGAAGGGCTGTCAAATCGGGTGCCTGACCACTGTCCAGTGTCCCAGGGCACACTAGGCCCTCACCTGGCAAGGCCACCCGAGCTCCTCCCAGGCGGGAGGCACAGGGGTGGTGATGCCGAGGCCCGAGGTCGCACAGGGGCTGAAAGGCGACATTGCACCGAAACCTCGGCTTCTGAGCCACGGGTGGGTGTCTCCCCCGTCACTTGTGACCCCTGCCAGGTGGAGGGCGCCACTCTGGCTCCGTGACCGCGCACAAGATGCGGAGCGCCATCCCCATACTGCTGCCCCGGGGGCACCGCGGCTCAGAGGCCACAGCACCCCTCCTGGCGGCTGCCCAGCACCCCTGCATCCCCATGCGAGGGTCGAGGTCTGTGCCCTTCTGGCCACGGCGGTGGGGTCGGGATGGGCCCAGGGTGGGAATGAAGCCCCCTCGAGAGTCTCCCAGAATCTGTCAGCTCCTCTCAGGGGCCACACGTGGAACTGTGTTTTCTCCCAGCCGCAGAAAACCAGAGCTGAGGCGGAAAGGGAGGAACAAGACAGGCAAGGTGCTCCTGCACCAGCTTCCTCCCCGCCTGGCTTCGAGTCCGGCTTTTCGTTTGCTTGTTTAAACAGTGGGTTTCTGCTGCTTGTACCCGCTTGCCTCGGGAGGAGCCTCGCTAGCTAGTCCCATCTGTTTTGGCCTCCTAGGGCTGCTGTCACACAGGGCCTGGGCTGTAACACCCAGTGGCTCTGATGACGGCATTTACTCTGCATAGTTCTGGAGGCCGGAAGTTCAGGATATACCAGCGGGGGGCTGCTTGCTCCTCTTCCGAGCTCTCCCGGAAGCTGCTGTGGCCCTCGAGTCTCACCCCCCTTCCCACGAGAGTCCCGAAGCCCGTGCTCCCCTTTGTGGGTCACTGACCCTGAAGGTGCATCCGCATGCATGTTGGTGACCTCAGTCAGGCCTGACCACCTCTTCAGCCTTCGTGGGACCTGGAGTCACAGCTTCCACACAGGAGTTTGGGGCGGCGACAAGCAGCCTGCAACACTGCCACCCAGGGGCTCAACACCAATCGGTGCCTTCGCACAGCGGAGGCCCAGGGCATCTCTGGCTGTGACACACACAACTGCTCACAGGTGTGAAGCTCAGGTGTGCCACACGGCCCGAGCATCTGACCTGTACCAGTCTATGGAAGCTCCACGTGTCCAGTGGGGAAACGGAGGCAGGCCGGAAGCGATACCCAGAGCGGCATCACTTGACAGGCAGCAGAGCCTGCTGCACCCCACTGCCCCACTGTTCACAGGATGAAGCCTTAGGCGGAGTAGAACTGGGGCTTTTAGGGACTAAAAACAACCTGGTTAGAGAGAAAAAGGAGTTTACATGGGCAGGAACTTCCTTTCATGGCCGCTCAGCTATGTCCCCCCAGAGTCCCTGAGCAAGGGTCCTGAGCAGGCCTCGCCCTCGCCCGGACACCGCAGACACGCCCCTCCGGCCCGCTGTTAACGAGTCCGAGTGGGAAGGGGTGAGAGTGACCTCGCTATTATGTCTAGTGCCTACGGATGCAGTCCCGTCACGATCAAAACACCCGACTGGCAAGATCACCAAGAATGAAGTTGCTTGTGTGTGGCAGAGAGAAGTTAAAGCTGCAAAGCAGGAGAGCTGGCCCCATGTACATGAGGAAAGGGAGTGGATCGGGGCTGGCTCGCAGCCAGGACAGAAGGAGGTCCCCAACAGAAGGCACCGAGGCAGTGGTTCTCCTTGTCCAGTCCAGCCTCAGAGCTGCTTCCGGCCGTTCAGGAGCAGCTGGGGCGGCTGTGGTCACAGAGCAGCAGGGCGGGCAGTGGGAGGGAGCTCCTGGGGTGAGAGTCCTGTCAGCCCCACTCAGGTCTCTGCCCAGCCGACCTCCTGACTGCGAGATCGCTCGGCTTCCCCTCTCTGGGGCCTGATGTCTTTTGGGATGGTGCCTGCCCGCCGTCCTGGACAAATGCACACTCAAGAGGCCACGCCCACATGTGAGCTGACTCGCTGTTCAGCCCCCTGCTGCGCATGTCAGAGTTCATGCTGCTGACACAGAGATAACATACCTCCCACACCTCATCTTCACAGGTCTTGGTGAGGCTTCGAGGCTATGCGTGAGAGACAACTCGCCCAAGGCTGAGACAGGAGGGTCTCTCACTACTTGTCACGATGTCTCAGCAGGAACAAGCTGAAGGCATCAAAAGTGGTGCAGCCAGAGAAACAGCAGCCCCTTCTGGTACCCAAACACAGATTTAAATACATGGAGGCACAGAATGTGCAGGGAGACTGTGCTTACAGCTACAATGAAGCAGCAAGGACCACATTGATCTTTCCACCTCTAATGAGGAAGAAACCAGGCCCAACACGCTCAGCATCAGCTTTCAGCCGTTACGCAGCAGCATTTGGGGGGGCTGCTGCAGAAAGGAACCAGGAGGATGGTCCCTGTGAGCCCAGGGGAAAGGGGGACAGAAACAAGGACGCGGAGCTGGAGCTGGAGGCACAGAGCGGCGCGGCGGGACCCTCCCTGGGAAGGCTCTGCAGGTCCTCGTCGGGTATGATCTAGGCACGAAGGGAAGGACACGACTCCGCCAGGGGAGAAGCCGGGGGAACAGCGGCTCTGCACCCTGCTGCCCTGCTCCGGGCTGGGGAGTCCTGTTCTCTCGGGTCAGGGGGTGAAGAAGCGTCATACAAGCAGGGCACTCAAAACAGTACTGAGACTAAGTTCTCCCAGACTAAGTCCTGCCTGGGGAGGGCAATCAGCTTGCCTGCTCTGCCCTAGGCTGCTCAGCCTTAGAACCGAAGCCCCAAGTCCCTAGTTTTAAACTGAGTCCCACATGCTGGGAATTTCTGTGGTCCCAGGCCAGCTGGGGGTGACAGTCACAGTTTAAAATTAAGACATTTGGTCACAGACAGTGAGGCAGGAAAACATGGCTGTGATAAGGAGAAACCAATCAACAGGAACACATCTGGAAGTGAGAGGCAGTGGGAAGCCAGGATATTACAGGCATCCTTCACGTTTCCTAGAGCATAGAGGGAGACACCAGTGTGAGGAGGAGAGCAGAGAAAAATATTGTAAAAGTGGAAAATGGAACTCGCAGAGATTAAAAAAACATAATATCTGAAACAGGAAATGACTGGTGGGATTAGCAATGAATCCAACACTGCAGAACAGAATGATGGTGCACGCGGAGAAAAGCAATAAAAATGACCCAAAATGAAGTAGAAGCAAAACACTTAAAAGAAATGGAGCCTCTGTGAGTTCAGAGTAATATCAGAGTCTAGTGTGGGAATGGTAGATCTCAGTAGAAGGGAGAGGAGGTAGACGCTTGAAGAGAAATGATGGAGATTTTCCAAACTTGATGAAAACTCAAAACCCACAGGACCTAAATATTCAGTGAACCCTAAATAGAAGAAACAAACAAACAAAAATCTCACAAGGCACGTAAGAGTCAGCTTCCTCAAAAAGCAGTCATGAAGAGAAAAATCTTCTGAAGCAGTTGCGGGGTAAGATGCACTTTATACAAAGAGGACAGTGACAGGAATGTCGGCGGCATCGTGGTAGAAAACAGCAGAGAGAAGACATGCAGGAGCTTCCTTCACAGAGCAAGAGAAACAAGGAAACGTCGTCAGCCTAGAATATTATTCCCAGAAAGACTCTCTGTGACAGTAAAGACGTTTTCAAACAGAAGTTAGACCTGGCCTCAAATTCCAGAAATGCTGGGGGAAGTTCTGCAGGCAGAAGGACAATGATACCCTCTATCAACACGCACACACACACACGCACGCACACTCCCCAGATAAGGCAAATACGAGGGTAAATAGAAACCAGTTTGTTTGAAAACCTCCATAAAAGGTAATTAGCTATTTAAGCGAATATAGCGTTGTACCACGCATTTGTAGAAATCAAACTGCATAACAAGGACCAGAGGCCGGACTGGGAGCAGGAATGTGCTGCTGAGCAGCTCTCGCCTGCATGTGAAGTGGAACACGCAGCCCAGAGGCAGCTGTGGCAGTCAGAAGCACACACTGCAAGCCCCAGAGCTGGCCTCAGAGCAGACAGAGCAGGGATAAAACTGACACGGCAGTGTGCACTGACCGTACGTCTGCAGCTGGGTGACCCGTGCCCAGTCCAGAGCCGAGAAGCCCCCATCCGACCAGGGCGGCCTCCTCACAGATGAGTCTGGTTGGGCTGAGCAGAGAATGGCCCTCCCTGGGTGGCTCTGCATCTGCCTCCTCTCACTCACTGCTCTCTGAGATCCATCCTTGCTGTGGGGCTAGCAGCATCTGTGTTTATTTTCCTGTAGTGTTTTCCACCTGAACACACAGTAATAGTAACGTATTCCTTCTGCCCATGGTGGACACAGGGCTCTTTCAGGAAGAGAGCTGCTGATACACTGTCGTGTACCTCGTGTCCCTGGCCATGGCACTGCTGGGTCACAGGTAGGCAGATATTTGCCTTTAGAAAACAATGTTGAAGAATTCTCCAGAGTGTTGTGGGAAATTCAAACACCTATCAGCGATACGAGAACTTCAAGTGCTCTATGTTCTCTTCAGCACTTGATGTGGTCGATGTGTTTGATCTTGGCTGTTCTAGTGGCTTCTTGCGGTGGTAGTACATTGCAGTTTTGCTCTGCATTTCTCTGATGATGAATGATGCTAATCACAAATTTAGATAGCCTCTTCGATGAAGTCCTTGTGCTTTCATCCATATTTATATATATATATATTTTTTTTTTTTCTTCTTTTTTTTGGTACCGGGGATTGAACTCGGGTCCTTGTGCTTGCACAGCAGGCGGCCAAACCACTGAGCTAAATCCCCGACCCCCTGTATTTATATTTTTGTTTGTGCCTCTCTCATTACTTGGTAGGAAGAATATAAAAATATATTGATAGTTTTTCTGTTGAGTATATTTATTGAAAATCCATTCTGTGGCTATTACTTTCATAATTCTTATGATGAATATACACATATGAATGTATGAAAT